TTTGAAGTTTGCTTATTTCTTCCATGAGAGAGAGAGATAAACAAGCACTTTCAACAGTATGCACTCCGTGACCCACCCCCAGTCCCAACCAGCCCAGCTCATGGGTATGCACCCAGCATGCTCAGTGAGGTCCTGGGATGCAAACCCAGCACCTTCCCCAGTGGGTCCAGTTGTGTTACTACAGTGTCATCACTTGGCCGTAACAGTTTTTAACTGAAAGTCTATTTTGTCTGATATCAACATAAGCTGCCCCTGTTCCCTTTTGGCTACTTGTCGCATGGCATATCTTTTCCTATCCTTTCACTTTCTTTTTTTTTTTTTTTTTTTTGTAGAGGTTTTTGCCATAGGGCGCGTGCACTCACCAGACAGAGAGAAACAGAGAGACAGAAAGCGAAAAACCACCCCCCCAAGGGGGATGGCCACGCCGCAATCCCTTCTTCTCCATTCTCCTCTCGGGATCTTGGGCACGCACACACATGCACCCTGCGTGAGTTTTAAGCCACCGGGTCCAGGACACGAACCACGGTCGACTACATGGAAGTCCAGCGACATAGCCATTACGCTAACTGCTGGTCCCCCTATCCTTTCACTTTCAACCTACATGTGTTTTTAGTTCTCAAGTAGGTCTCTTGTCTGCCAGTCTATGCCTTTTGATTGATGAGTTTAATCCACTTACATATAAAGTCATTACTGATAAGGAAGGACTTACTTTTGCCATTTTGTTACAGATTGAATGTCCTTTATTCTAAATACTTGGAACCAGAAATATTTCTGATTGCAGATTTGATTTTCAGATTTTGGGATACTCGCATATACAGAATGAGATATACTGAGGACAAGACCCAAGTCTAAACATGAAATTCATTTATATCTTATATATGCACCTGACACACCTAGCCTGAAAGTAATTTTGTACATTATTTTTGTATTGTGACTTTTTTTCTTCATCCTGTCAGAATTTGGGATATGCGTACACATACACCCTGCATGTTTTTCAAGCCATCAGGGCTTGAACAGTACAGTTGGCCATGCACGATCAGGCTTTTATTTATTTTTTTTTTCCTTTTCTTTTTTTCCTAAATTTTTCCAGAGGGCACATGCACGGGAGAGAGATGGCGGATGGAGGCATGAGAAAGCACTCCCTCCATGGGAACCGATAATACTACAACCCCTTCTCCTCCATTTCTCCCTCTTCTTGGGATTTTGCTCAGTGTTTTTGTTTTGTTTTGTTTTCTATCCAGGTCCAAGACTTGAACCATACAGTAGGCCATGAGGGATCTAGTCAGTTTAACCACCATGTCATAGGCTGTCCCCAAGAGATCTGGCTCCTTAACCACAAGTCAAAAAGCCAACCCAGACAATTATTTCTCTTTCAGCACTTTAAATATATTACCCTACTACTTTCTAGCCTCCAAAGTTTTTGCTAAGAAATCTACTGATAATCTTATTGGGGATCCCTGTACCTGCTGAGTTACTTTTCTCTTGAGCTTCAAAGATTCTCTTTGTCTTTGGTTATCAGTGGCTTGATTATATGTGCCAGTGTGGTTCTCAGATTTATTCTACTTCGTGTTCATTGAGTTTCTTGGATTTACTCCATGTACTATATCCATGTATTACTCCACGTATAATACTCTGCATATTATATTTATTTATTACATGTATTATATCCATGTAGTTACTCAAATTTGGGAGCATTCAGCCATTACTTTTTCAAATAATCTCACTGCCCCTTTCTTCCTTTCCTCCTTCTGGAATTCCCTTTGTCAATATTTATCCATTTAATGGCATTCCATAAATCCCTCGGACTCTGTTCACTCTCTTCAAGTTTGTTTAATCTTTGTTCTACCTGTTTGAATCTGCTGTTGAAGCCTTCTGTTGAATTTTTCAGTTCAGTTATTATAGTTTTCAGCTGGAAATAGTCTTTTTATTACCTTTTAATAATTTCTCTCTCTTTTGGGGCCGGCAAGTGGCATGGTGGTTGAAGGCGCTGGACTCCCACATGGCCGACCACGGTTCAGGTCTCAGATCTGGTGGCTGGCTTTCTCACTTCCTCTCTCTCTCTCTCTCTGTCTCTCTCTGATCAAACTGGAAAATAATAAAGATAATAATAATGAATAAAGTTAAATAAAATAATTCTTTAAAAAAATAATTTCTCTTTTGATAATCTCATTTTGTTCAAATATTGTTTTCCTAGTTTACTTTAGGTTTTTTTGTGTGTGTGTGTGTTTTCCTTTAGCTACTTGAACATATATTTAAGACAGTTTTTAAAAAATCTTTGACTAGGACTTATGCTATGCTACTTCAGAAAGAGTTTCTACCACTTTATTTTCTTCCCTTGAATGATCTTTTCCTGTTTCTTTATATGCCTAGTAATTTTTTCTTGCTGCTGTTATTGAAAGTTGGGCATTTGAGTGCCAGCAGTGTTGTGTTTTAGGTGTTTGATCACACGTAGCCAACTCTGCAGTTCAATTCCTGGACCCAGCAGCTCAATAAACACAACAGGCACATATGCATACATGACCAAAATCCCCAGAAGAAAAGGGAGAAAAGACTGTGGTAGGGCCAGGGCCCCTGGAGCAGGGAGTGAATTCTCACTTTTCCCCTCTCTGTCTCTTTTGGGCTAGTGCTTGCATTCTATGGCAAAAAATCTATTAAAAAATGAAAGAAAAAGAAAAGAAACAAACAAAATTGGGCATTTGAAAAGCAGCCAACTTTCCCAGTCTTCGTGACTAACTCTGTGTAAAGAAACACTTTTTTAACTAGCAGATTACGTTCTGAGACTTGGATTCAGCCCAGCATGAAAGTTTAAGGTATTCTTAGGTTTTTCTGGGCATACATCTTGCCTGGGTCTGTGCATGCTTTTTGCAGTTCCCCCATATACATGTCTGCTTATACATGTATTAATTTCCCAGTCTCACCTTTGCTTCTTTTGGGGGCCTTAGCTATTCTACTGTATTCTTCTACCCATGATCTCTTGCCCCAGACATCTCCAGTTCTATAATCTTCTGGAAGCTTTCACTATCCATGCTTGCCACTGCTTTCCACTGATTTTTTGCAGCCTACATTATGAACTGTGCCACTTTCCCCCAGCCAAACTCCATGTCAGGTGAAACAAAGAACAGCTGCTCAGGCAGCCCCAGCAGGCTGGACTGTTGGCCTATGCCCTCCGGATTGAGGCAGGAAACTGCTGGGCTACACTTGCCCCAGACTGCAGACCACACCATGCTTTGCTGGGGAGAGGAGTAGGGAAAAGGCAAGTAAAAATGCCTATAGTTTCCTATCATTTCGAATGTGGCCTTTTTTTTTTTTTTTTCTTAAGTAGAGGTTTTAGCTATAGGGTGTGCGCACTCGCCACAGAGACAGAAAGAAACAGAGAGACACAAAGCGAGAAATCATCCCCAGGGGGCATGACCACTGCACTCTCTTCTCCTCCATTCTCCTCTCAGGATTTTGGGCATGCATGTGCACATGCCGCCAACATGAGTTTCAAGCTGCCGGGTCCAGGACTCGATCTGCGGTTGACCATGTGGGAATCCAGCAATGTAACCATTATGCCATCTGCTGGTCCCAAATGTGGCCTTCTCTTACTTGGGCATTTATTCAGTTGTAGATGTTTGACTGTTTTATAGTGTTCTTGTAACATTTAGCCAACTTTTTAAATGTTTCCATGAGGAATGAAGACTTGGGGTTTCTTAGTCTACCATTTTGCTGACATTGTTCCAAATCCACTCCCTTTATACAATCTTCTCTAGGTATAAGACCAGTCCATAATATCCCTGAGTGTTGCATTAGGCATGTGAAGGTATTACTCTGCTTGTCTGTCTTACTCTTGCACCCTCCTTTATGCACACCTATTTCCCAAACAAGGTCACCTTCAGTTAAAGCTAATGATGGCCACAGGCCATGTCTGGCCAGAGGGGCGGTGAATGCTTTCTTGAATGCTATTGTTCTCTATGAAAACAGCCTTCTCTGGCTCTCAGAAGTCACTATAAGCCTTCCTCGCTCTTCCTTATACCCAAACTACCATTTCTATTTCTCCATGTTCTTTTCCTTGTCCGTTTCCAGAGAAAATATGTGGATCCCAAGATGTCTCTGCAAAAGTGTAAGTGGCTCAGTCTTGCTCGCCAAAAAACAAAGTTACTCAATTTTAAGTAGGCCAGTTCAGACAAAGTATTTTCCAATGGCCTTTAAATCACAGGGGAACAGCAAGAACTTATTTATTCTGTTCTGAAAGCAAAAGTTAAAATGTACAACCAGGGCAAGATTGAGGAACAGGTTCCAGAGAACGTATATCTCTGGCCATCATGCCAAGAGTAGCAGTCCTGCCTCAGCAGGTTCCACATCCTGAGAATGGCTAGGCCAGGGAAACCTTCTTCAGGCATTCTTCAGGTCAAGGCACAAAGGAATTGGGGACAGGAAATGTCCAAATGCCTAGAAACACTCCATTAAGAATAGCACCGATAGGAACTAGCAGATGGTGTAATGGTTAAGATGTTGGACTCCCACATGGTTGACTGTGGTTTAAGTCCCGAACCTGGCAGCTTAAAAAACTCATTCCAGGTGCATATGCATGCGTGCCCAAAATCCGAAGAAGAGAATGGAGGAGAAGGGATTGCAGCATGGCCATCCCCCCATGGGGGGTGATTTTTTGCTCTCTGTCTCTCTGTCTGTCTCTGTCTCTCCAGTGAGCCCCCACACCCTAAGGTAAAACCTCACACACACACACACACACACACACACACACACACAAAAGAGAGGGGGAAAAACAAGAATATCATCAAGAGGCACAACTGTATTGACATCTCTTCTACGATGTGTTAGCGAGAACGGGGGAACTTGATGATAGCTTGTGTGGACTCCCCAGTATGAGCACAGAGACCACATGGCACATGCCCAAGATACAACCATCTGCTGCCCTGATTGGAGCAGTGAAGATCTTCACTTCTCCCTCTCCATCAGCCTCCCTCTGGACCTTCTGGCCATGCCCTCTCCCTCCTTACCTTCCTCCTCTCTTCCACCCAGTTTCCAGTGAGCACTCGGGTTGAATACTTGGCCTCAGTCTTCCAGCTTGGAGTAGAGAATGACTGTGGGTCTACTGCTGTCAAAAACATGGTAAGGATTTGCCCAAATTTCTTTGACTTGACACAGTTTAAGGTTATGTGAATGGGGGAGGTGTTATGAAGTGGCTGAATTTGGGGTGTCTTTTTTTCTTCCCAGCTGCCCTCCTGAGGGTGTAGCAGACAACGCCGTGCTACCTTCAAGGAATAAAAAGGCCCCAAGAGTCCACTCTCAGCCTCCAGGGAGAGGTAACGGGATCTTAGATTCTTTATTGTTGACTGTCTCCATAGTGATAGACAGTGGGTATAAATACTCTCTGTAAGGGAACAGCTGATTCTGCAAGAGAAAAATGGACCCAGCAAAAACTGGTTAAATCAACAACCACCACCCCGGAAAGCAGTAACTGGAAAGGCCTGGTTTCTGTGTTTCACCCCAAGAAAGGCATTGTCCTTGCTGCATATTCAAGGTCAAGGCAAATTCTACCACTGAGTGCTTTTGTGCAAGGTTTAAGCCTCAGGCTCTGTTCACTGCCTGCCTTCCACTTTGCCCAAGGGGCTTCCATGAAAAATTGTTTCTGCTCCACACCATTGCCAGCTAAAATCCAGCAGCTGATCCTGTGAGTAATGGAGAGATGAAACAAAGAGGGAGAAATGGAGTTTACTTAGCTTGGTTCGAGCAGAGTGGCCGAGAGCTAACAAGCCCACAACGACTCCCAGAACAGATATTTCCAGCACGTTATATACGGTTACACTGCTCATTCATTCATTGTTATCTACATAAATTTAGCTAGGTCAGTGTCACTCTTACCCTCATGATTTTTGACATTTATGACCCTGTTTTATCCTTAAGACAGCACTGAATCTGTTAACTCAGACTTGTGACATACATTGCTAGATTAGGGAAGCTACAACATATTTTCTTTAAGCTATGCTGTTTAACAAAATAATTTAAACATCTATGAGTAATTACTACAGTATACAATAACATTATTATAATTTTCCCAATTTAATCTGTGTCCCTTGAGTAAACATCCCCATCTCTCTCTCTTTCTTCTTCTTATTTTTTGTTAGTTTTAAGAGAGATTTTTGCTATAGGGCATGTGTACTTGCCAGAGAGACAGAGAGCGAGAAATCCCTCTACCAGGGGGATGGCCATGCCACCATCCCTTCTCTTCCATTCTCTTCTCGGGATTTTGGGCATGCACACACATGCACCCAGCCTGAGTTTCAAGCCACTGGGTCCAGGACTTGAACTATGATCGACTCTGAGAATCCATCAACGTAACCATTACACCATCTGCTGCCCTCCCCCCATTTTTTTCAAACATTCCCATCTCTTAAGATTTTTCACCTGAGATACCAGCCCTGTTGGATTTTCGGGGACTAAAGCAAGTGGCTTGTTTCCTCTTCTAAGCAAACAGGCTTATTTATTCTTTTTTTTTGGAGGGGGGAGGTTTTCGCTATAGGGTGTGTGTGCTCGCCAGAAAGACAGAGAGAGACAGAGAGATAGAAAGCAAGAAATCATCCCCAAGGGGGGATGGCCACACCCCAATCCCTTCTCCTCCATTCTCCTCTAGGGATCTTGGGCACGCACGCATATGCACCCGGCATGAGTTTAAGCCGCCAGGTCCAGGACTTGAACTGTGGTGGACAACGTGGGAGTCCAGCGACATAGCCATTACACTAACTGCTGGTCCCCAAACAGGCTTACTTATGACCTTATTCAGTACAATAGTTACAGAAGCACCAATTAGCTCTTAAAATATAGGAAAGAATAATAAAGTAAAGCAAACAAAACAAACAAAAAACCCAGGGTTAAAATTGCCTCTTTTTTTTTTTTTCCTGTTATAACGCTGATTCATTCTGTCCATCTTCATTCTTTCATTCCACAAGCATTTCACATTCATGTCTTAGGTGCTGAGCTAGGGCTACAAGGCATTTAGTGACTAGACTTGGGTTCATCCCCATAGACCTCAGTACAAAGGGACAAAGGCCACTACCTTGTTTTTGTTAGGCAAAGGAAAATCGGAAGCCACCTAGATATCCATCAGCAGAGGGGCTGGTTCAATAAATTGCAATAAGTGCCACCTGGGGGTACAGTGGTAACCCAGCACAGGGTGCTGCTGGGTGGAGGAGTCCAACCCGGTGGGGCTCCAGGACCCATCTGAGCCCCTTGACCTTTGAGCATCGCTTCCGGTCAGTTCAGTAAGTTGGCAAGGCCGCGACTGTATGCTCCCCGACTTTGGAACAAGCTTGGGTCATTTAGCATGTCGGCAAGGCTGCTTGCTATTCGCTCCGGGACTGTGATAGCCTTGCTGGGAAGTGACCCCCCTCTGACTCCCCGATTTACTACTATAAAAGAATTACATAGCTCCCTCATACATCTTGAGTGTGTGGTAAGATTTCTCAAAAAGTCCCCCGACCGCTCCCCTTTACCCTGACCACTTACTGTTAATTACAACGCTTCATTGGGCACAGTAAAGGGTGTGCTAAAGTTCTTCCTGATCTTTGGAAGGCCCTTCAAGACACATTTAATATAAATAATCTTTTCATGTACAATAGGACTAGGCCGAAACTGGCCCAGGACGCTCTCATCCCATGGTAACTAATGTTCTAACAAAATACATAACAGTGGTGCCATAGGCTACACAAGTGTATCCACAACACCATAAACCCATTTTAAAGTTTTTCATTAACTTATTAGTCATTTCACCACCAGTTGAAAAGGCTATATCCCCACCCTCACCAAGTGAACACTAACTCCACCCCTTCAGGATAGGTAAATATATTAGAATTCCTTACGTTTTAAATCCCTATAAAATTATATAAGTATCATTCTTTATGAAAATCCATAAGAACTAATATCTATGCTTGAGATTTTCTTTTAGTAATCATAAGACGGCTGCTGCTGAACATCAGTTGATGGTTAACTCTGCTTGCTGGAACTGTTTCCTGAAACTGCACTGCTTAAAGTTACCAGGAACCTGCTTTCATCAATCAAACAATTGTTGAACTGTATCGATGATTAATAGACTTGCCCTTAATCAAATCCTGAATGGTTTCTATTGTTAAAACTTTATGAATTAATAATTAGAACACATAGCCCCTCTCCCATTTACTTGCATGTATCACATTTTCAATAAAAAGGCACGATGATTCCTAACAGTTGTCACTCCTCAGAGAGCGATCTTAGAAGAGTGTCCGACTTAGGACATGCATGAAAAAGCACGAGGTCTTGGTCTTCCTTTCTTTCCAGTGTCGCCTCCGTCGAGCCAACCCACCTCCGCCGAGGCTGGTCCCCGGCAGCCGGGCCACGTGGGAGGGTGCTGCATTTACGTGCTGAGGCCCCTTTCTAAGTGCTGGATGTGCACATGCATGTCCATCATCCAGGCTGGCTGAGGTTAGGACTGGATTGTGGCATAAGGACCCTGTTAGGGTATCTGTCTGTCTCTTTCAGAAGAAACAGGTGAATAAACTTTAAAAAATTTTTTTCTTAAATTGCACAGGGCCAACAGTGTGTGGTAGTTAAGGTGGCTGGATGCCATATGGCCAACTGCACAGTTCAAGTCCTAGAGCCGAAGGCTTGGGAAACGTGCCAGACTCATGTGTATGTGTGCCCAAAATCCCATGGGAAGATGCTTTCTCACTTTCCTTCTCTCTCTCTTTCTCTCTCTCTCTCTCCTCTTTCTCTCTCTCTGTCTGGTGAGCACAAGCACCCTCTGGCAAAATTAAAACAAACAAAAATAATGGTATAGATATTAATGTGTCTGTCTTGATACTGATAAGCCTTCCAGAACTGACAGATTTACTTTATTCATTCCAAAAACATCTGTTACATATTCAGATTTGAATAGTCATGGTTTGCCTGTCAGTCATCTTTCTGGTAAAAAACATGTTTTATTTAAAAAAAAAAAAATCTCAGCTCCTCATGGTCACAGCGGAAACAATTACATACCCAAGTGCGCTCTCAAGAGAACCATCCTACTTAGCTCTGTAGCAGCAATGCTTATGCATCTGTCCTTCCCATTTCACCCCACCCTGCTTCAGTTTTAAAAGGCTGACTTGGAATAAGTAAATAAATAAGGCCCAGGTGCCGCAGTAGGTGCTGTGCTCCACAGGCTGGGACCACGTGGGAGGTCCAAGCTCAATTACCACTCCAATCTGAAAAACCAGGTGCAGTGGCACACACACACCTGTAATCCCAGGAGGGAGGGCGACGTAGGAGGATTGTGACACAGGTTCTGTCTTAAAAAAGAATAGGGCCAGAAGGTGGTGTGGTAGTTAAAGCAGCTGGATCTCATGTGGCCAACTGCATGGTTCAAGTCCTAGACCCAATGGCTTGAAAATCATGCTGGGTACGTGTGCCTGCACACCCAAAACCCCAAGAGGAGAATGGAGAAGAAGGAACTGTGGCGTGGTCGTCCCTGCAAGGGGTGCTTTCTCACCTTCCACTCTCTTTCTCTCTCTCTAGTGAGCATACATCCTGATAGCAAATACTAAAAAAAAAAAAAAATTAAATTCAAATAAAATAAAGAAGTCTGGCATAAGAGGATGCCTATAACACGTGGTTAAATTATAGAAGAACACTGCGCTGTAGAGTTACTGGCTACAAAGAAGACATTGGATTCCATCCAGAGAAAGTGTCTCCCAAGGACCTTTAAACAACTCAGTTGTTTTCTCTGAAGTGTCAACGTAAATAAATCAAATGCTATAAAATATTAAAGCCAAAAATATTCTAAGCCAAATATGAAGACTGCAGCCAGCATATGGCCCAAATGAGCATATTTCAGACAGCCCCAAACACACTCACTGACATGCTACCATCCTTGGATAGATTTTAAGGGGGAGCAGAAAGGAGTTCTATCTTTTTTTTTTAATATTTATAAATTATTTTTTTAAATTTCTGCCAGTGGGCACATACACTCACCAGAGAAGAGAGAAAGAAAGAGAGAGAGCAGGAAAGTGAGAACGCACCCTCCCATGGGCAATGTTCACACCACAATCCCTTCTCCATCTCTCCCTCCTTTCAGGATTTTGGGTATGTACACACATGTGCCCAGCATGTTACTCAAGTCGCCGGATCCAGGGCTTAAACAGTGCAGTCAGCTATGTGGGGTTCAGCCACCCTAACCATCATGCCACAAGCTGGCCCCATCATGGTTCTGGGATTAGTAGTGGGGATGAACTAGTGGCACCCTTTGTTACTGGGTCATTATTGGTATCAGTTAGCAGCTGGACAGGCCGTCTCCAAGCCAATGTTTTAG